GGGGAAGCATGAGGCCAAGCATTAAGAGTGAAGCCAACTATTTCATTGCTCCAAAACTGGGTAACAAGGAGGTAATTAATACCACGGCTAATGTTCCTGTTTTGTGAAACACATGGCTTCGAATTAGAATTAATTGCTGATCCTGAATCCAAATTACATTGAAATAGGTAACATGGACACAAGGCAACAGGCAGGACAAAGCTTCATGGAAATTTTATTCTGTGGGGGATATATTCAAAAATGGAGCTTCTTTCAGTAGTCAAACAGGTGTAGGTGGGGCGAAGCCTTATTATAACCAGGAACAGAGTTTTAAGGTTGCCGATGCTAGATCAGTTAGTGAATTGACAAGGTCATCAGGTGTTCTAAAATGCTCCAGGACCTTGAGATGCTGAGTCCAATGAGAAAAAAGCTGAACTAGTGCTACACAAGAAATTAATTGTTTAATTACTTGCTCTAATTAGTTTTTATGATGGCTGTGCGAGGAAGGGGCATATAGTAGTTGTCAGCTACATTGCAATCAACACTTCTCAGTGTTCTGGTACTGCAAATAATGTACCTTGACCATCAGAACTATTGAATATCCGCTATAACCCTAAAAAACTTTTGGCAGGGCATAAATGTCCATCTCTAATTCACCTTTTTATTTGAATTTATTTGGTTTCAAAATTGTATATTAATTAACAATTTGTGAAAATTACTTATAATATATGCATAGAGACTTAAGCTTATATTTGTGACGTAATTTTTTTTTATCAAAATCATGAGATCGCAGAAAAAATTCTCCAAAATACGAGACCACGTTGTTGGGAAGGAGGTTTGTTTTTCAAGCAAGCCATTGCAACGGTCCAAATTAAAGAAATTAGGGAAATTAATATAAATGATATATATCAAGAATTAAATAGGTAAAAGCGTATACAGCAAAGGAGATTTCGACAAGACAAAAGATACGGAGACCTGCGCTTGAAGCCTTGAACTAATTAATGTTAGCTCTCAGCGCTTAAAAGAACATATTCATTTATATGTGCATGGCAAAAACTCTCAAATTACTATATTAATCATAAATGCAATAAATAAAAATAATCATTTTCTTTGTTTTAAACAAAAAAAAATCTTTTTCCTGAAGCTAGAGTATATATAAATCCGTTTTGATTGTATGAAAAAGCATGTTATATTTTCCCTCTTTTATTATCTTGTTTTTTTAATATATTGTTTTTTCTTAACTCATATAATTTCTTCATCTCTTTTGATTAACTTTGTCAAGTGAATAAAAAAAATGTTTGATCCTACACTTAATGAAAGCTATAGCACAAATTTTCTATAAATTCAAATTGATTATTGTCACTTACTGACCTCAATTCAAGCAATAAGACAAATGAGTTATAAGTAAACATTCTAAATTCAAACTGTAATTATAATTAAAATCTGTATCTTTTTATTATTTTCCTTGTTTTGAAATTTTTGTTCCTTTTTTATTTTTTTGTGTATTAAAACTTTGATTTTTGTGTATTAATTTGTAATATAAATTCAATTTTTTACAATATTTATGTATAATATTTTTTATTATAAAAAAGTGGAAAAAAATGAAAAATCAATTTGTAATATAAAAAATAAAAATATTTTTAAAAACTTAAAAACCAATTTTCCTCTTTATTGCTAAAATATTAACAACTGAAAAAGTTATTGATTCCAACCGCGACACAGGATTTTTTAATTTAGTACTTTATCTTTTTATATTTTTAAAAAAGGAGAGGAAAATGCTCTAAACGGCAAACCCCCAAGCCCAAACGCACATGCATGAAGAAGGTAATGGAGTCTTACACTTGAAACCAGTTCAAACTCCAAAGTGCACACTCTGCCTGAAAAAATTCATGAAATTTTCCATTTTAAAAAACTATTATCAACCAAAAAAGGAACTATAAATTAAAATTAAAGAACGCGAAAAAAAATTGTCTGCTTCCTCTGTCTCAAAATTAATCATTACTGATTCTCTTTAATCAGCAACCCAAGCCTCAGCTACTCTTCCAAAGTTCCCCTGTTTTTCTCTTCTCCAAAAATCTCTTTCCCTCCCGCGCTCTGTATCTCACTCCCGAAGGAAAATTGCAACCTTTGTTTCTTCTATATCATCAGAAGCAGAGGCATTGCCAACCGCAGAAGATGAGTGGCTCAACAGACTTCCAGATAAGAACAAGCGCCTTTACTCTCACAGCTTGTCTTGCATCGAAGCATGGCTTAGGAGCTTAGAGTTTTGTTAAAGCAGAGAGGACCGTGCTTTTTGGTTGATTGAAAAAACTGATTGGCATGCCCAGTTATCTCTTGATGTCACTGATCTTTACATAAGTTATGACCCTTTTCTTTTAGGATTTTAAGCGGGTTTACTCATCTGGGTTTTTTGTGTGTTTGAAATGTTTGTTTAGGTTGAGATGGGTATCTTTATTTAGATTGAATATTGATTGGGTTTCAAGAATGTTTGAAATGGTGTAAATTGGTATTTCTCCTGGCAAATTACATAAAGAAGAATATAATTTATTGGTATAATTGAATTGAATAAGGTAGCTGGTGGTTTACTGAAAGTACATTCTGATAAGGGGCAACGGGTATTTGCTGCATCCGCGGCTAAAACTCTAGGAAAAACCACAATGCAACAAACTGAGAGCTGCATGAGATCAGAAGCATCCTCCCCCTCTTGCCTTTTTACGCCCTTGCTGCGGCTGTTTATTGAGGATATTATATTTCTCCATCATTTTTGGCTAGACGGCTGTGCCTAATTTCTATTTTGAGGGTTTATTCGTTGTTGCCCCTCGCTATGCACCTTTTCCTTTAAAAACTTCTTTGTCTCAAACAAAAATGGTGTTAATTCCTAGATAAACTAAGTGCGTAGCTCCAACTATTGGTGTAGGATAAAAACAGCAATAACCTTCACCTTTCTATTCGTAGCATCATAAGCCTCTTATAACTCCCTCTACCGTTACTTCATAACCAGACTAAACAAAATCACAACCATTCGCTGTCTTATTTGGCATCTTTTGCTGTATAAAGCCACCTCTCCCTCTCACTCTACTTCCATCCTTCCTATCTACAAAAATTGGAAGAAAAAAGAAATCAAGAACAAAAGAATTCAACAATGGCTACATCGTGGTGCTTCACATTGGCCATTTTCGTGGTCATTCTCTTGGCAAGTCCTAATGCTAGTTTGGCTACGATGAATGTTATTGATAAATGCTGGAGAGGGAATCCTCGTTGGCGGAATCAACGGCAACAGCTGGCCACGTGCTCCGTTGGTTTCTCCGGCAAAATGACTAACAACATTGGCAAAGGTGTTATACGCTATAAGGTCACTGATCCTTCTGATGACCCTCTAAACCCGAAGCCAGGGACCCTTCGTCATGGAGCCACCATGATCAAGGGAAAAGTATGGATTACTTTCAAAAGGAACATGCACATCACACTCCAGAGGCCACTTCTCATTAGCAGCTTCACCGCCATCGACGGCCGTGGCGTTAACGTCCATGTTACTGGCGCAGGGTGTCTTTTGGTGTATCAAGCAACGGATGTGATCATCCATGGGTTGCATATCCACCATTGCAAGTCCCAGCCACCTAGCTCTGTGATGGGTCCAGATTCAAAGGTGATACCGCTTGGTCAGATGGATGGGGATGCGATCAGATTGGTCACAGCAAAGAAAGTGTGGATAGATCACAATACGTTGTACGATTGCCAAGATGGTCTCCTTGATGTCACTCGTG